AATAGGTGCCATTAGAAAGAGAGCCCAAACGCCTGATATGTGGATTACTTGTGGATTATTGTAATGTTTTATCAGCTGTTTGGATTCTGACGGCACACATTCAGTGCAGAGGATCCAGGTGAACGAGTGATGTAATGCTAAAATTTTCCCTTTAGGAAACGTAATGGCCAAAAAGCACATTATATTCGTAATGTTGCATAATTTTGTTATAGAATTGCATGTTTCTTGAAAGTACTGTATCATCCAACACTAGCAGTTAATATACTTAAAAACAAACAAACAAATGTTTGCTGCAATTTGGGCAAAAGCTATACATGCTGGCGCTCTAAGTAGACAAGAACATCAAGAGTTTAATGGGATGTGAAAAAAACAAACTCTTATGTTGTTGTGAATGCACAGAAGAGCTCTTAGAAAAGAATCTGACCAGCTTTCTGAACTCTAGTTCTGGATGAATACTGTTGATTGTGCCAGGGGCGATTCTTGGATCTCAGTCTCAAGGGGACTCAAGCCTCCTACATGAATGTGAGACTTTGTGGCTCTAAGAAGTAGTTTTCTTTTCAGCACGGGAGATCACAAGTACAAATCTTGCTTGATGGAAAATTGTTTTAATAAACTAATTGAACCTGCCAAACAATGGTTTGGTTGCACTTCATACTGTGATTTGAGAAGAGTACTGGAGTACTGGGCAGTGTATTAATATTTATGATGTATTGATGTCTTGTGATTTGAAATAGTTCACCCCAAAATTAAATTTCTGTCATCGTTTACTCACCCTCAAGTTGTTACAAACATATACAAGTTTATTTCCTCTATTAAACACAAAAGAAGATATTTTGAAGAGTGTTGATAACCAAATAGTTCCCAGTAGCCATTGAATTATATAGTATTTTTTCCCATACTATGGAAGTCAATGGCTACCATCAAGTGTTTGGTTACCAACATTCTTCAAAATATCTTCTTTTTGACTCAACAGAACAAAGAAACTCATACATGTTTGGAACAACTTGAGGATGAGCAAATGATGACAGAAATTTAATTTTTGGGTGGACTATCCCTTTAACATGCGTGTTTAAGATGTGTATTGTAATAAAATACAACAATTCTATTTTTAATTCAAATGTATCAACTTATTTAGAAATCATTCGAGACAATACTCTACGAAAATATATTTTTTAGTGAATTGTTTGCATAAACTGTCAGAAATGTTCCTGGAAGACCTTGCATGGAATTTTTCATCTATTAAAATGTTTGTTTGTTTATATATGTACTATGTTGGTGCATTTACACAGTTTTAATAGCGGCAGTACTGATTGACATGACGATGGCAAATTTTCAGGTTTGATTCAGCATTTCATTTGCATTTTTCTAATGAAATGCAGCATTTGTTTTAAAGAAGAGATCAGTTCAGAATTTTTATGATGTACAGGTTATATACATGGAGAGACTAGTTCGACTACTTTCAGGATTTCTTATTTCTTTCTTTTTGCAAGGTCATGCAGCTGCAAGCCTGAACATTTATAATGAATCACAGGCGATTCCAGGCTTTATTTAAGGGTGCTTAAGCCCCAGTCTTTCCTATTAGTCCCCTTAGAAATCTTAGGTTAAGCTGGCTCTCCGGTGAATGTTTTTTAAATAATATGTAATGTTAAATAATGTTATCAATTCCAGTGAAAATGCATCTTTTAGGAACATTCACTTCATTTAAAAACATTGTCCGGACCTTTGTTGGGAGGGAAATGCAGAGCCTGGACCTCATGGAACGTTAATTGAATAGCGCCTGGATGGGGGTTCGTGCTCTGTGAGGACTTATTATTTTGTGTTTTTCTGCAGGGATTCTAAAGGAGTTGAAATAATTTGTAACACATTGAAGCATAAAATGAAGTGTAATTATCTTGGAGGAGAGGCGAGAACTCAGCCAACCATACATTAACACATGCTGGAATTATGACCTTCACATTCTTACATAATCAGCTTCTCATACACAGATATTTATGAGCCAAGAGAGGACGCTAATGAATCTGTACAGAGTAAGGATTTACGACTATTATTTATTCATGGGGAAATCATCATTATTATTATGCATATCTCCTTTCTGCTGATTGGTCAGCCGAATATCAAACCGTGCCATCATCAGTTCTTCCGCAGTATCACGCAGCAGAATAATAGTCCTCTGCTGCTGCAGTTGTACGGATTAATAACCCATTTTATCAATTTCATATTTTTCTCATCATACAGACTAATGAATAGCTCGACACAACTCGTACTGGGGCAGAGTCTAGACAGGTCTTTCTTCTGTGTAGACCAGCGGTTCTTAAAGTGATAGGGGGTCCACAAAATAATTAGCTATAGCCTAAAGTATTTCCAGACTGTAAAGTCGCTTTTTTTTATCATGATACATAGGCCTACTGTGATTTATTCCAAAGTGAATTATATGATGCATTTAACGCTTATATGAAGCCTTTTAAAAGACGAGTATTCCCTGTGGTTCATGTTTTGTGGCATGCGCCAGAAAGATGCACAAGGAGACCGAGAAGCGCTAAAGCAACGTATTCTGTTGTTCTCTTTATTTTTCAAAGGCATGACATTTTGTAGTTATTTTGAACATAACGTTACACAATTAAAAATATACATTTTACCATACGACTATAAATGACAGAGTATTAAAAATCCAAGTGAACATCAATCAGTACTCAATATTAACTTAAACTGCTTTAAATATGGCTGCTGCTTATTTCCTGTGCACTTCAATACTGGTCTGCGCTTGACTGTAGTTGCGTCTGTCTGCTTATTGAGTTGATTTAGGCTAACCCATCACAATTTATTGGAACTGTGTGCACTAGAGTGACTACTCACCTTAATGTTGTTCTCACAGCTCACGCTGCGCACAAGTGCATATCCTTTTGAGATATCAATTATAGTCAATTTTAATAAAACACAAGACTACATTAATATAACTCTAACAGAAGGCTAATATCTGCTGTTCTCCGGTTGTCAGTCAGAATGACAGTACTTGCGTGAACATAGGCCTATATATACCCAAGCCAATTTATTATTATTTCCTTTTTGTCTTAGTGTTTCAAATATTTATTTTGAAACAAATTAATTAATTAATTTCTTAATTAAACATAAAAAAGACTTACTGGGTGAGCGGGGTGGGCTATGACAGCTGTCATATCATACCCTGCCATGCCCAGCTGATGCAAAGAATATAATTTATATCTACACAGAAGAAAGCCCGTCTAGACTCTGCCCCAGTATGAGTTGTGTCCAGCTATTCATTAGCCTGTTTGTTTGATGAAAAAAAGATTAAATGTAGTTGCAATAAATGCGTTAAGAATCC